TGCGTCCAGAGACGTGTCCCGTGTAGTTGGGCAGCATGCCGTGTATAAATAAATGCCTTCAAGTTACCTGAACATGAATCCAGAGACTTGTCCAACATAGTTGGGCGACGTAACCCGCGTAGTCTGGCAGCATTCGGTATTTAAATGCCTTGTTAAAAAGTTACCTGTACATGCATCTAGAGACGTGTTCTGTGGTAGCTGTGTAACATACAGTGTATAAAACGCCTTATAAAGTAAGGTTACCTAAACATGCATCCAGGAACGTGTCCCGCGTAGTTGGGCAGCATGCCGACGTGTTTGTGGTATATTTCAGTCGGGTTGATGGACAGCGGAGGGTCGGGTCTGCGAATGTCAAGGATGGGTAAGGAAAACGGAAATGTCAGGAATACAATTCAGGATGTACTGTGGGACCAAAGTATAGCAATTGGATGCATTCAGAGGTAAATCGGACACAATTTTATAAAAGTAGTCGCTGCTTATGTAGAGGATTTACACATACATAAGCAGTCAGTATATTACGCATGTCTCCCACTGGGGTAGACAGGGACAAAACCTCTATTTTCACAATTTGTATTGGCTTACCTTCGCCTTAATCCTGAAAAATGCAGATTTACGGTTTAGCTTAAAAATATTGGGAAATACTGAAACAATCATGTTAAATTTATCTTATTTATTAAATTATTCTTATGTATAAGATAGGCTATACAAGTTTGTACAGGTGGCGGGCTCTCTAGCAACATTTTAAGATAAATTTACGGCTCTTCAAATTATACTTATTTCCCATTTATATTACACGAGCATTTTAACCATGTAAGGCCCTTCAAGGTGGTATCCAATCTTAGAGTAGTAATTGCGAGTGCCTACGCCAGATATGACTGCGATCTTATCAGAGCCGTGTTCTTCCCGAGCTATGCGCTCTGCTTCCTCCATTAGAAGCATACCGAACCCTTGGTGTTGAAATTTTGTCGGATCCCTTGCGTTTACCTGAAAAAGGTGCACCCATTGCAACAATTTATCAGTTATATTTTATTTTCATTGAATATCATAATGTTTTTACCTACCATGATATTCATATATTTTTATGAAAATATTTCACTACAGGCCTATGAACTGAGCCGGTTCCTAAGGTAACTGCGGATTCGGGAGGAGTGACAGTTTACGTAACAGTTATGTCGCGCTGCAAACGGAATAATTTCAACAAGATTTTTCTGACGATATTCAATAACAAATTAATTGAAAAAAGTGCCAAATGAATAAAAATATCTTTATTAACTTTCACAAAAGAAACATACATATACCTATGGTCCTCATATGTTCTTGAATATAATTTCGTATATGAAAGTCTGGTGTCTATACTAGGAATAACCTGAGTTATAGAGCACCAGGCTGTCACCTTTACTCCTATAGACAGACGCAAGAAAGATAGGCAAAGATAAGAAGGAACGTGTACTTAAACAATTACAAAGCAAAAATGAGAACCAACTGGTGTTAAATTAGTTTTCAATATATTAGAAAACGATTGTAAATGATTGTTGTTTTGTTGTAAGTGTGTATGTGTGTGCTATTGAATATCGTCAGAAAAATCTTGTTGAACTTCTCCTGTATGCAGCGCGACATAACTGTTACGTAAACTGACACTCCTCCCGCGCCGCGCAGCTACCTCAGGAACCGACACAGCTCAGCGGTAGGCCCTGTAGTCTGTTGTTATTATTATTGACACAAAAGGTTGAACAAAGATAAAGAAAAATTCTTTCAATCCGACTGAACTCGAACCACCGTTTGTAACCACGTTGAGGCAACAGACGCAGGTCCAGGTGGATCGAAGGAATATTTCTTTCTGTTTGTTCGATATTTCCATAAATAATATTTCATCAGTTATGAATTGATTAATCAATATATTACACCTTGTAGTTTGTGGTCTTTTGTGTGGGCAGATTAAAATATGTATGTAAATATAGGTCATATAAGTGAAACTTACGGGAACTACAGATCCGTAAACGTGTAACTCTCTGACAATACTGCATTGTTTAAAGTCAGCATTGGGTCCAGGCTTCAATTCCGGTCTGTAAGTAGCGGAAGCGCATTTTCTAAGCCTCAGTAGACCGACTAAGATATCCTGATCCGGGTCTTCGTATGCGAGGAAGGTCTCCCAACCACCGTTAGCCACGTAATCACGTCTTATCAATTCTACCTATAAATTTCAAGTTATTATTAATATTTTATAGTCATATAAGAGTGACTATATAATAGTAGGCGGAGCTTGCTACTAGTATCAACAATACATGTATTATGCAGGTACTTTCCATTTTGATATCTGAATACCGGTATCAATCGGGATCATATTATTTACTTAAAGGTACCGGAACTCAACAGCGGCTCCGGTGATGTCGCCATGTTACTACTTTTTTTCGTCTCACTACAGCCACGATCGGTAATGAGAAGAAAAAAGGCCCCAGGGGTTTTATTTGGGGCATTATAGTCAAGTTTTAGTAACAGTAGAGTTCCTTGTGAAAGAGTTACTCCGGGAAGTACTGCCACTTACCTATTTCTGCCGCCAAGCAGTAATGTCAGCATTACTGTGTTCCGGTTTTGAAGGGTAATTGTGCTGGTGAAATTAAAGGCACATGGGACTCGTCAACTTATGTCTCAGGGTGACGGACTTGCGCTCGTATCCGGCAGTGCCACTAAAATGTTTGCGATTTAAAGCTCTAAGTGGCACTGCAACAGTTATGGAGAGGCGTGCAGCTTACCATCTGCGCGGCGCATGACTTGTTCGGTCGTCCCGTTATTTGACATTATATAAAAAAAAGTTAGCCTGCATGCAATCATGCTATTTACGTGCAAGTGTGATGATTTTTTTTTTGAATAAAGTCACCTCATAAGGCCGAACTCTGTTGTGTATTTCTTGAATACCAACTTCTCTGGTCCTGACATCTCTACAGTCAGTGCCTAAGTCGGCCATCCGCGCTAAGGCCAATTCTCTGAGATTCCCATGTTCAACACCAGAGGATACCAGCGGCATTGGTATGTCGCGCTGGACTCTGAAAGTTTATAGAATCGACTATAAAAATAAAGAATTTTTAGTTCATGAAATAACATGTCAGGGTGTGGCAGAATATCACTGCGGCTCTCCCATAACAGTATTACATAAGTTAAAATTAATAAAGTAGTACCTTTTGAAGACATTTTAAACATTTTTACACCAAATTATAATTGTAATAAAAGTGATATTGGTTACTTAATTGCTTAAATATTAATCACAAACGGTACTTATAATTTTATACTTTGTTTTTTATTATTTTAGATATGCTTTTATATTATTTATAATTCAGACTCTTAGCCTACATTAGTACCTAATAATTAACAATGATTTCATCCTTTGAGTGAGTTTCCACAGACAATCAAATTTCTTATCATATTCAAGATGCTATTATTGCTGCCCCACTCTGGTAAAAAACATGCATTAGGTTGGTCAAACAGTCCTTGCATGATTAAAGTGTACACGAAACCGAAATCATCCCCTAGTTTGCCACCCTTAGAGGTGGAATATTTTCTTCAAATTGAAATGGGACCAAGACCGAGGTAGCCTCTTTCCAACAAAAAAAGAACCAAAATCGGTTCACTAATCATGTAACATACATACATACATCTTTCCAGTAATGTCCAAATTTTTTTTATCAATAAAAATTCTATCTTATAGAATATAGCTGTAAGTATCATTTGGTGGTCTATTTAATTCTGTACTAAATTATAAATTTTATTTTTGAGTTTAAATTGTATTAAATCTTTGTAATGTTATGATCCACGTTAGTTGAAATAAATGATTCATTATTATTATTATTACTATCAAAGTCTATTCAAAGAATTTTGTAAAGACAGAAACAAGTGAAAATTTTATTATGTCTGGCAAATATGGTGGATGAGGTAACACATCCTAACATTGTTGATTGACAGTGGGATGTCTCTGAAGTCACACTAGTGTAAACCCTACCTGTAAACCCTAGTCCATGGTGGCACCAATGCCAATATCTTAGCAACCAGGTCAACCAAGGTCGAAGGTGGATAACTCTTGTATCTACCAGTCTTCCATAACTCGTAAAGCCCAGTGCCTCTGATGACCAATGTTGGGTAGATCTTGAGTCCATCAGCTCGAAATGCTGGGTTTTCAAAGAACTCTTTAAATTGTTCTACATCCCTTTCGAAATCCACATTTGGGAGATCGGGCATCATGTGGGCTACAATCTGGGAACAAATGTATAGGAATAACAATATTAACTTATATAAATGCACGGTGTAACAAAAAGGTGCAACATTTTTATATTTTGCACTCATGATAAAAAACTAAGGCAAAAAGAAAAAAATTTGTTACTGATACTGATGCTCAAACCTATTGAATACTGATTTATCATAAAACGAGGGACACATTAGAGTCGCAGGGTTCTACATGGATGTTTGCAGGGCTCAGGAATGACAATCTTGATGTCACTTCTTTTTAATATGAAGGATTACAAACAAGTGGTCGAGCCACTTGTTGGAAGGTGGTCATTCTTGCCTATGGATATTTGCAATACAAGTTTACTTGCTTTTTGAAGAACCCCAATGTCATAATGCAAAGAAAACACTTCACGGAGTCCATTCCACATCTTGTAAACAGGAGATATTGACACACAAACAAAAAAATTAAATTCTGCACCCAAATTCAGAACCCTTCAATATTTTAATGTTCTGAATAAAGTTTGTAGCCTTTGCCGGTCGAGAAGCTCGAGTAATCGTACGGGTGGACGTCATTTCGGTTCGGTTTCGAATACGACAGTTTGACGTTCGATTCGAGTGTTGTGAATAAAAATTTAAAAAAATCATACGATATCAAATTGAACAGGTCGACAACTGAGTTATCATAAGGTTCTGAATCGACCCCCAGGGATGTCACTGCACACAAATATACAAGAGCCTTGATTGAAACTGGAGATACAAACAAGTCACAGGTCTCTATTCCAAACCACATCAAAAGCACAGTGCAATACTGTTTACAGTCAAAAACTGACATGACAGGCAAATGACTCCACTCCACCTGATGTTAAGTGGAAAGTGGTATCTAAACGCGAAGGAACCTAGTGCAGCGATGAAACCCTCACTGCACTAGCCACCTCCACCCTGCCTGCCTACAATATGCCTCTTCACGCCTCGTTTGAAGGACCCCATATCATAAGAGGGAGGGAAGACATGTGCCGGAAGGGAGTTCCATTTGTCAACTGTGCGGCAGAGAAAGGAGCCACCAAACCTTTTAGTACGCGATGGAATGCGGCAGGTAGTGAAACGGTGACTACGAAGGCCAGCACGCGTGCTTCTAAGCAGGAACGGGGAAGGGGGGATGAGGTTGAACAGCTCTTCAGAGCACTCACCATGGTACATGCGGTAAAAGGCGCTAAGCGATGCAACATCTCTACGCAGTTGCAGAGGTTCAAGGCGTGATGAGACCTCTTCGTCGCCTATAATTCGAGTAGCACGACGCTGTAATTTATCCAAGGCATCGAGTAGGTACTTGGCGGAGCCGTCCCACAAGTGCGAACAATACTCAACGCAAGACCGGACCTGTGTTTTGTACAGCAGGCATAACTGGTCCGGCGTGAAAAAACGTCGCACCTTGTTCAGGACTCCGAGTTTCCGTGAGGCTGTTTTGATCACAGATTCGATGTAGCTCCTTGGATTCAAATCACAGCAGATTTCCATACCGAGCAAGGTAAAACTGCTCTGAGGTGAGAGTGCTGTGCTCATCAGAGAAGGCATGGGAAGGAACGGCGACAATTTTGTTGTTAACGCGCAAACCTGTGTTTTCTTGGCGTTGAACTCAACAAGATTTCTAGATCCCCATGCAGAGATGAGGTCCAATATCCTATTGAGCTCACCGACAAGATTAGATCGCTCTCTGTCAGTATCGGCGCGCCCAGCTGCGGGGAATCCGTGATATCCCCCATGAACAGTGCTATCATCTGCATAACAATAAGTACGCTAGAAGGTCACCCGTTGATCGTTTCGGACGAAACCCATACTGCCGATCATTAATTATGGAGTGATCTTCTAGGTATTGGGTCAGTTGTTTGTTAAGGATCCGCTCTAAAACCTTGCACATTATGGAAGTAATGGCTATGGGACGGTAATTATGCGGGTCTGATCGGTCGCCTTTTTTGGGAACTGGTTGCACATTAGCCTCTCTCCAAGAGTCCGGCACACGACCTGAAGAGAGTGACAGACGATACAGTCGCGTTAGCACGGGGGTCAACTCAGCTGCGCAGCTCCTAAGTACAATCGCTGGGATACCATCAGGACCACTAGCTTTCCGGACGTCGAGAGACTGCAGCTGCGTACGCACATCGCATTGTCTGATACGAATATCAGACATCGTGTAGCCACAGTGAGGTAGAGTTGGTGGCTGTGCGTTACAGTCGTCGAGACAGGAGTTAGCCGCAAACAGATTTGCCAAGAGGTCGGCTTTATCTTGCGGCTTGTGGGCTAGATTGCCGTCAGAATATCTCAGCGGGGGCAGCGAGGGCTGGCAGAAGTTCGACGCAACGGCTCTGGCCAGACGCCAGTAACTACGACTACCAGTGGGATGCGTCAGGAGTTCTTGGCCAACTCGTGCGACGCGCTGAGCATCCGCTCTGATGTACGCTCTTTTGCAAGACCTGGTGGCATTATTGTAGGCTGTTTTAAGTGAGTTCGTATTGGGATCGTCTGAAGCTCGACCCTTGATCCAAGCGAGGTATGCAGTCTGTTTGTTCTCAACAGCCACAGCACACTCGCGGTTGAACCAGCGGTTGCGCCTCCCTTTACTGACGACATCCGAATGCGGGATGTAGTATTCCATCCCGATTAAGATCTCATCAGCAACGGCAGTCGCGCTAGCTGTTGGATCCACCTCACTAAAACAGCGCTGCCGCCAAGGAACGGATGCAAAATAGTCTCGCATACCGTACCAATCTGCCGACGTATAATGCCAAATGCGGCGTTTAGCCACGGTAGGTGGTGGTGGCAGTAACGTTGCCACTTTAGTGGATATCAAGCAGTGATCCGAAGTGCCCAGAGGGGCTTGGACCTCCACCCGATATCCAGCCGGGCGAGACGTCAGCAGAAGGTCCAACAAAGAGGGCGCGTCACCAACCCTATCTGGTATCCGGGTGGGCTGGTTTACCAGTTGGGTTAAATCGTGTGTGAGAGCGAATGTGTGGGCAGTTCTTCCAGCATGGTCAGTTTTAGAGGAACTTAACCACGACTGGTGATGAATGGTGGTGAATGGTGAGCATTGAAGTCCCCTAAAAACACCAATTCCGCTGTAGGAAACTGCGCCTGCGCGTCATCTGCCGCCCGAGTAAGGTGGTCTATGAGACGAGTTGACTGGAGTTGAATAGCCTAGCCCCTTAGTATAATAGGCATAGCCCCCTACTAGACGGACGAATGAACTAGTAAGGGCGGCGGGTAACCGATGGATGCACATTGCGTCCGAGCGTCTAGTCTATCAATTTTTAGGGGAGCCTATGTTCAGCAGTGGACGTCTTCCGGCTGATATGATGATGATGAGTTGTTTGTTATCAAAACACAAGTACGACCACAAACTCATTGAAATGTGTTTTTATGTTAAAAGCATAATAAATAACTTTTTTTCAGTAGCTGTTCTTTTTTGTTATAAAAATATAAGTGCACATTTGACCTCAATCGCACCTGATGGAAAGCGACAATGAGGTCGACAATGAAGCATGCACACCTAAATAATGCCTATTTCACTCTTGCCTTGAAAAGGGAATACATCTGCATGCAGGGAATTCCACTCTGTAGCCATTCTTCATATAAATGTAGAAGCATAATGCTTCAAACAAATCTTTGGAATACATCAAATCCACATTAAATCATGCAGAGTGTGCAAGGCAAATGCAATTGCAATGCACACTCTCCGTGATATCCTGTAGTACACCAATAAGTAGGCAACTTTACAGCAGTGTTCAAGGTAAGTTTTCAGATTATACCAATTGCAACATTAAAAGACTTCACCTTAAATCCAGCATCTTTTGCAAGATTGAAATTTTCACAAACAGCCTTCACTGTATGCCCTCTATTTGTGTCTCTAGCAATATCCTCATGCACTGATTGCACTCCAATTTCCAATCTGAATTAAAATCAACATTTAATATTGTTAAGTAGTAACACCTACATAAAAGAAATTTTAAATTGATCTAATTCTGTACAGTCCAGTATAAAGCGCATTATTTTAATACTTGATCATTTTTTAACTCAGTTACATTAATTTCGGAAATTACCTAAAACAAACAAAGGTAAACTTCTTCTGTACAAATAAGTGTTAATTCGGTCAATCAGTTTGAAACTTATAAGGGAGCTTTCTTAACCCATCACACGGAAACCTGACAGGCATATGTATTATTTTACCTGGTGCATCCATAATTAAGCAAGTCAGTTATATGCCTGTTCAAACAATAGTCTGGCCTGGTTTCTATTGTGATACCGATACATTTAGTCTTTGCTTTCTCACTGTACTTCACAGCCTCTGCTACACAACTTGATGTATGGCCAGATAGAGCATCGTGGAGATTCCTGAAAAGTAATAGACTCTTTGTATTACACTTTAGACATAATATCTCCTACTTAAAATAGCAAAATTTTAAACACTGAATTATATCCACACAGAATGTTTAATTAATATTTTCAATAATGAGAACACCTTCAAATTACTCGCTTCTAGGAGCGCTACAATGGCACCACTACTTATTTTCATAAAACATTTGAATTGCTGTCCCATCACCATTGTCGTGACATGCAAGTGCTGAAAAGCGCCAGAAAGGGTCTGTAAAAATCTTTATATTTGTGTAATAGCCAGGGTTTCAATGGCGGCACCATTACATCCAGGTTTATGACTTCATTTTTGGTCAAAAAACTATTGCAGCAAATTTTGATAATGATGTTGTATTATATGTTTTGTATTATAACTTGGTAAAGAATCAAAAATAAGATTTTAGTAAATTGAATTTGAAGCACCTCCGACTGTTGTGGCAGTCGAGCAGAGAGTGACCATGGTACGAAAACAAAATGAGAAAGTGAAGGAAAATGGAACAATTCAAATTTAAAATTTAAATACAAGTACATAAAATAAAAAATGATAAGATACAAGCGGAGAGAGGCAATACAAAAAGGTGAGATGACGGTGTAAGGAGGTCACACCGTCACAGCGCTACTTTTACAGTCACAGTTAGTGAACTAAGAATTACAGAGGAAACGCTACAGACGCGTGGCTGTCACGTTACTGCAGTCAGTGTAAAGTTAACAAAAATAATAATATTAAATATGTACAACAGTCTTCAACATTTATATTTCTATTTAGAAATCGATATATCACACTTACCTAATGAAATAATCTCTGTAGTCCTCAGGCAGACTCATAAAAGTCCCACCCATGACTATGAACTCCACTTTATCAACACTATGGCCCAGTTGCTTCAACTGTTCCACTCTGTGTCTGGTTTGCAAGTATGGATTATACCGGGCTCGTATAGCTCTCATAGATGTAGGCTCATAACCAGTATAGCTTTGGGTAGAGTACTCGAAATCTGAGTCTGGACCCCCAGGACAATACACACAGATGTTACCAGTGAAGTTTATATGCGGACATCTGTGCGGTTTGCACATTACTGCGACAACAGCTATACCAGACGCTGTACGGATTGGTTTTGCCTTCAACTTCGGAAGTAGGATACTCTTAGCATCCGCCGGCACAGCTGCGATAATATCGACGAGTCTAGGCGACGTACTAAGCCCATACTTCGAAGAAATACGAGTTTTCATCTTGTTGAGGTTAACATCTTTACCTTGACGATGTGCGACTAATAACTCCTGTATAATCTCGGAAATCACTATCACCATTTTCTCCTCTTTCGAGAGATTTGGCAAAAGCTTTTTCTTCGCCATTTTACGTTTATTTTATGCAATTATTTTAATTATGTAGTAATTTACGCGTGTTACGAATCGTACAGATAATCAAAATCCGTTTTGTTTGACATTTTGTATCAATGTTGCTATTTTTAAAATATAATTTTTGACTACCATTTATTTAAAGTTTAGTTTCCCATTTAAGAATCTACCATTAATATTTATTCAACTAAAAATAAAATACTTTGTACGAATGTAAAGTGAAATGTTTCGCTAGTAACGTAATTTCTACTTACTTGACCACATTCACTGGGGCCCATTCAGTGCTTTGCCGTCGCCTATAGTTCGACGAAAAATCGCATAGTGCAGAATTCGTAAGTTTCTTCGAACTTTCCCCGAAACGATGGAAAGCGTACGGTACGTGTCCCATAAAACCTGCCAACAATACATCATAAACTCAGCCAATTTACAATATGACGGGTCGACATTAGACATAATGACGACCCTAGGTAATTCATTACAAAGATATTTTATATTAATTTTAACTGTTGTCATGAGTCATGACAAATCACGACAGATACAAACGTCAAAATAACGTGGCTATGTTTGAAAATCACGTAATTATAAAATCTAAGCCGTTTCAATAAACCAACCTGAATTTATGGGTAGGCCAATAATAAATTATTAAAATATGGCGGAGAAACGAGAACCCAAGCAGATGGGAAGGATTAAAAACATTTGAAACTTACGGGCTGATTGTGACGGATCAAAACCCCATATTTGATTCCTTACGAATGAATTATGTACCTTAGCGTAAGACATGATTCACAATAAATGTAAAAAAAACCAGTTTTTCTTTTTCAAATTTACAAAACTTCAGTATTACAAAAAACAATAATTATGATATATTTATCTACATTTTTACCGTTTCTATAGCAACGAGAATAGTGCCTAAAAAGATTTACACAAAAAGTTTTGATGTGCTTCAAATTTTTAAGGAGAGTTTACGTAAATCATTTGTGAGAGATCCATGTATCCATAGATAGGTACATAAAATGTCCATAATCTCACCTTTCTTGACATATTTCTCATTATCATCATTATCCATAAAGTAAGGGCTGACAGCATGCGCAGCTGGTCCTAACTTCGCCTCATCCATTGGTAAGTCCCTCAGTATACCCGCACATTCGGGCCTCACAGCTATCAATGGCAGTTTGAACTCTGCGGTTGCCGACTAAAGGGGAAAATACATTAGTTTCTCGATCACCAAGTATCAGAACATCAAGAATACCATATGACCATCTCAAAAGCTTTATGCTATACATTCTTTTTTCACGTCCTTCATGCCTTCATTCCGTTCCTTCGTAATATATTTTTATTATCAATCTTCTCCTTCCATGCTCCTCAATTCCTATCATCTTCATTCAGCTTCAATTTTCCGACGTTTCCATTATCTAATTGATCAACAACTTTGTCTCTTATCTCTCTTCCGTCCATCTTCATCCATCTCCTCTCTTCTTCTGACTTACGAATCGATCCTTCAGGTCCCAAGGCTGTCCTTTTCCGGCTTGCAGATCGTTGATTCGTTCGAGCTGCTGCCGCGCTGCCCGTGTGTCCAACTGAAGCCGTTGAAACTCTGATAGAGCCTCAGTTGCTGCCACTGTGTAACGCTGACCGAAGTGTGCGTTTAAACGAGGCACAAAACCTAGTAAACATTTTTTAAATTCAATTTCTCTCGCAAGGAGATTTTTTCGAGTCTTCAGGTTTCTGGTAATTTGAATAGGTAAGTATTTAAGTTATTATTTTTTTTACACAATGTTTGACAATAATTTCATCTCAACATTGCAGGTCCTTCAGTAAGTTTGAGGAGTATCTTTTACGTGCATTTGGATTTAATAGGCATCCCTCCATTACAGCTAACTTTGTCTGTTTGTTTTGATTATATTAAAATTAGTACAAAAATAATAAAAATAAATGATTTAATCACAGAATACAAGTTATTTTATTATACAGCTGTTAAAATAAATTTGAACCACAAAAAGTTTGCAAGTCACCGTCGAATGCAAAATAACAAAATTACTTAGAAGCGACGATAGTTCCGTTAGCTGCGCCCGCGCACTTGTTCAAATGCCTGTAATCTTACACCGCCATAACTAGAGCGGCGGATAAGGGCATGTACCGTTTCGTTGCTAGCCACAGCTTGAACTGCTCTAATTTCCGGTAAAATGAAACTATTTAAGAAATACTCTACAGATGCCCTTCGGGTTTTTCATATGTAAACAAAAACCACTTCCCTTTTACCATCGCATTAGGCAATAACCACATGCAACCCACTTGCTACGATCCTGACATACATATACATATACATATACATATACATACATGTTTAGCATCATCAATACGCATAAATTAAGATAATTCAGATTTAATACAGATTTTTTATGATACCCTTAATCAACGGTACGGGGTCAAGAGCATGTCAAGCTTGACACTTAAAACTTAAAACCAACTCTATGTCGCTTACGATAAGAACGGTCCAAAGTACAAAGTGTCAAGTTTGACGTGCTCTTGACTGCACTAACCAAATTCAAGTTACATAAAACTGTTGTAATCTGGTTAAAAAACCACAGAATAAAAACCAGGGATTTGTATTCACTTGAGATAAAATTAATGTAACTGAACTACTAAAGGAACTATCCATTGTAAGCAAAGCTTATAACTGATTAATTTAAGTAGGCGTCAAATATAGATCTAAATACGTTGAGAAACACGCGGGAATGTTAATCATACTTATAAACTCTCACAATCACTTAGTACCTAAGTACCTATACATTGCAGAGCCAGTCATTTTCAAAGGCGCCGCGGGCAATGACGTCTTCTGTTTTACCTATCCCATGGCAGTGGCACTTCAAGGAGGGGGTCACGAATTTCAATCCAAGGATCGTATTCTAGAACTCTACTCAATACTCAAATCAGGATCTGAGTATGATTTCAAGCACTGGAAATACGACCCTAATGGCAGAGACTTGAGTATGATTTCGAGTGCTTTAAACCATACTCAAATCCGACCGTTATGGTCGTATTCTCTCGTATGCTCAAGTCAGGACTTGAGTATTGCAGTGAGCACTGAAAATCATACTCCAGTCCTTGCCATTAGGGTCGTATTTCCAGTGCTTGAAATCATACTCAAGTCTGCTCAAATCCTGACTTGAGCATTGAGTAGAATTCTGGAATACGACCCTAAGATAATTTATTAGAGTACTTACGAAACCGAGGAACATTTCACTGTCAATACGTCTCTCTTCTTTGTTATTAAGTAGCTACTTACGGATTACGGAGGCAGCTACTTGCCTACACTATTTAATTAAATGAAATCTCTGCATACATTTCAATGACTTTTTAGGGATTACAAATTAAAAGACATTTTTATTAAACTTTCTGGTCGTAATTTACGAGTTTGATCTCAGGGCCACATTGTCTATGGGGCAGGAAATTAAGCCGTCAATTTGCAGATATCTTTCTGGCCTCATTCAATACAAGTACCTACATGTACTTAGATAGAATTCGGCTAGCCAAAGATAACATTGGACATTCCTTAATAATTTTTACATCACATCACATCATTATGGCAAAATGTCCAATAGTTTTGAGATGCATATAAGTATGACATCGTAATTGTCAACGATGGATGCTCTACACAGTGAATAAATGAAACTAGGTTGTAGCTAATCTACAATTGTACCTACATGATTGTACGTAATTGTTATACATATAACATCATTTTTGTTTATTTATTTTTTCCATAAAGAAAAATTCCTAATAATGTCGTCGCAATTTTGTCAGGACCACAAAGCGACAGTTTGCTGTAATCCGACCCTGAGCATAACAATACTGTTTTGCAGGAAACCGAGACATTCCTGGGTGAGTCATGGAAACTGAATCATTCGGATCAGGTACCGTAGCTATATTGACTTAAGCTTTACAAAGAGTGCCTAAGAGATTTCTCATTCCCAGTATAGTTTTCTTTAAAAATTGCCGACATTTTAGAAGATTTAATTGTAAGTATTACAGGGCTATTTATAAAATACTGACAACCTCGCAGGACTCTATTACTAACGTCATTTCACGACTTTTTTACAAAACGTAATGAATTTACCAAAAATAATCTTTTATGTTTTTGATGTACCTACTAATTATTTCATTTCATTTCACCCTGCGACATAAGTTGATAAGTCCCATATGCATGTAAATTCATCAGCACTCTCACCCTTCCAAACTAGAACCTTGCAATGCTCACATTACGTACCTACTATTTGGCGGCAGAAATAGGTAAGGTGGCAGTATATCCCTGGACGAACTTTTTCACAAGAAGCTCTACTGCTAGTAGTAATATATAGGTCCAACCATGCGAGCATCCTCCCCGACGACACCCACACCCACTCCTGCTGGTATTTACGCTAGTGCTTTCTTTTGTTACATCACAGAGTTTGCACCATTTAGAGCGATATATTTAAATATTTTGAATTTTGTGAAATGAAAAAAAGGAAAGTAAAATCTAATGAATTATTTATTAGTCATGAAACAAAAGTTCTTGTTTATGTAGTTAGTTGTATGTCTAGTGAGGTTGTTAATATTTTTCAAACAACCCTGTCTATAAGTCGTGCATTGTGTGTTTCCGTAAGCTAGATGTTTTTGGTAACATGATTATCAGTCACAGATACGAGTATATAGTATATATTATGTATAGTTAAATTTATAACCTGGACTAGTACTAGTAGTATCACATATGCGTAGTATATTTCCGTACGAGATCCTTTAGTATCATTAGTACAGGTACAAAAATTTTATGTATTATTTTTTTTACTATAAATAAACATAAGTTACTCCTTTTTAAATCAGTGTTACGACTCCGGTGGTTGGAATTACATTCATAGAGGTGTATTACACGGCGTCACCACAATAATTCCTCTAATCATACGTTACTTTGCAACTACATCCGTGCGCGGGTAGTTATCGTCAGCCTCGCCCCATCTAAGACTCGAGTTAACCTTCCTAATTTTGTTGAATTTTCAACAATCAGTTGGATATGGAAACGCACACATTTTCCTGTATGCAGATAGCGCCTTGATGTACGCAGTTGTTGTACGTAAATAAGTTTGTACTGGTGTATGGGGTGTCTAGGGTGTGATTAAACCTGTTTTGATGTAAGTATGTTTGACCTTCTCTAGTAGAATATTTATTGTTTAAATACAACTTTAAAAATTCCATATGTGAAAAAAACATAAATAATAATATTTTTAGAATATTGCGGACTTATAATCTTTACAGGAGCCCCGTGCCCACCAGTGGGACGTATAATTTGGTTGACGATGATGAATATTGTGAATTGAAAAACACGTTGTCAATAACATTTAGGTATAAACAAATGTAAGCCAACGAATGTTTTATGACGTACAAACACAATCAAGTCAGTACATTGCTCTCATAAACCAGGTGGTGTTATTTTACATGACTATATATTTATTTAATTAAAGTGAATGTTTGAACTTTTAGCGAGACCAGAAAGACCTGAGCAACGTTAACTAACACGTAGCAAAAGTCATATTTAATAGACTTACGAAGGTAAAACTTTCAATAAATATGATTAAAAACTTCAAATTCTTTTGCAAAAGAAGAAAAAACAAATAAAAACGCACCCTCATAACCGGGAATCATGGGATGTTTGTACACTGGATCGCCATTGCGAAATCTTGCATTCACTGTATCCACATCAGTTTGAGCTGGACGATAGATCTGGAATGGTTTTTTGAATATAAAATAAGAGGCAAACTAGCCGACAAATTGCATAACGGTTTACAGCACCATAAGAGCTATCTATGCGTTACGGCCTTTACTCGCTTTTTTTAAGAACGCTTCAAGATTGAATAGGATTAACGGCAAGACCGGACTTAAAGTTTGAGCGTTTTTATTTATACATATAAGAGAAGGACTTAGTGGTTAATACGACCTACTTAACCAATTACATATGGCACATATTATCATACTTCATTGAAGTAAAAATAAAACAAATCTATTGTCCTTTTGAGAACTGATGATGAAACGTAAAAATGTTATTGCAATTCGCTAAAAAATAAATATTCAAAAAGCCGGATTTACATTTGTCTGACGCGTCGTGTCGTGAGACGTCAGAAAGGTATCGGCTTCATACATTTAATATGGTTAGATTTATATTAGTGTGTCGCAATCTGACGTGATAGTTTGTGCTGTGTGTATGAAATCGATACCGTTCTGACGAGGCACGACACGGCACGAGGACACATCAGACAAATGTAAATCCGGCTTAAATTGTGACATCACAAGCGGGGTTAATAAGGATATCGAAAAAAGATTTTCAGATTTAATTCGACGTTTTAATGTGAGTTAAATAGAGAAATTAAAATAATAATACCCCATAGTAGCATTTTATAAAGGAAAACAAAATGGAAGCAACTAATTTTGATAGAAAAGTTATTTAAGTACTATTTATTCGGTGAGAAATCGATATATGTATTTTTTTGGCGACTCATAGAAGTTATATACTCTGTTGGATGAAATATACCATCGATAATGTGTATATCAAAATAACGATTGTTCTAGATGTAAACACTGACTTGAAAATCATCAGAAGTGCGATCAGAGAGAACGAGCCTTTCCGAGTGCCTGACGCTGGGGTCCAACAGAATCTTGTGCGTGGTAGAGCCATACGTATTCCCGATGCGGTACTTGTATTCAGGACAGTGTCCAGTGTACCTGTTGGTCAAAAAGACGAATAATAAAACACCTGGATTTAAAATCTATGGAGTTCAATTTTGGATCCTAGTGTGACGATGCTGACCTCGTTTATCGTCATTCTACCTTTTTATCTTCCACTTTTCTGGTTCCTGGCAAAATTTTTTAAAATTTTGAATCGTTCTCGAATTATATTTTCCTTCACTATTCTTACGTTTGTCCTATCCGTCATCACTACCATCAAAATTTTTGAAACGAGGAAATTTTCCCAAAAATCACCTTCATTCCTTATTGTTAAACTTCACGACGATTACCAACTGTTAAAATTATTAGTTACATAGGCCCTTTTGGGATGAATTGTGCATTGTGTTATTTAGTTTCATTGGAAGTGTTATATAATAATTCTACATTTTCTTTATATAATTTTATTATTTGTTACAGCCTTTCTTTTCCTATTTTATCATCTTACAATAAATCTTGTGGACTGAGACTTCTGCATTCTCATTTCTCTAAGGCTAGGCTGCACTAGTATATTATAAATATAACTGACTAGAAGCTGTGGCACAAACACCTGAGGTCTATTTTCGTTCTCCGCCCAATAACCGTCCGAAACAATGACTGTTAAATAAATAATACTCGACTAAATTAAAAAACATTCTCAAGTATGAAGCTTCATACGCATCATGCGTCTTTTAATATATTTGACTGTAACTATTTCGGACGGTAACTTATCACAAAGTCGAAATTTTTTGTCCGAAATAATATTTGTTCGAATTTTCAGTACACCAAAAACCGAATTATATAACGAAACAGTTGTTCTATCAGAATATGTTGAATGTATATCGCAAAGACACAGTTAGGTTCGGTTAGGTTAGGTTAAGTTAAGTTTAAAAGAAAAAACATTTTCCTCTCGAAATTACTTTCGAGGTTATGAAATTTCGACCAAAAGTTATTTCTGGAAAATGTCATTTCGAACTACTGATAGGTAACCGTTTCGGACGTATGTCGGACCGAGAACGGGAGTAGACCCCCTGATCGGAGAACAAAGTTTATAGAGATGCTTCACCATATTTTGCGAAATGCTATAAAACAATTTTTGAAAATATGAGCATTGAGCCAAAAGATAGCTTTAAATTTTTCTCTTTGGACTTTGAACCAAAGATTTAAAACCCATCAGTTTCAGGCGAGGTTTCCTTATAACTTGATTTTCACCGGCTTACCTAAAATTTTCCACGTACCAAATACTACATTTTGTATTAAATTTTACGTGTAGAATAAGTTACTAACGATAATTTACACGCCTCGCCCCTGTTACCTATAGAATTATAGACACAGACAGACTCGTTTCCCAGTCAAGCGTATTATTGCAAAGTAAGATAAACCCTTGACAAAGGCATGCAATCATACCATAAAATATTTAAAAAACCGACTGAATGCGAGTAGAAATCGCACAATTACTATATATAGGTATTCCTTATCATGATAATAATTGCTTGCAATTAAAATAAATATTCGGTTTCATTTTTAATGTGTGTCTAACCTATTGCAGGAAATAGTGAAGTCATTTAAGATTTATTTTTAAAACTTGTTGTTTGGTCAAAACATTAATATTGTGCCTCGAGTTATTGTGTTGTTAGTTAACAATTTTGTTACAACACTAGTAAAGGGATGCATTTAAATGAAATTACATATCAAATATGGAGTTGGGCGCTTGGAATTTAGTTCTCACCTTTAAATCGTTGGTTCGTTTTTCGAGGTAGAGTCCCTGTTTTTTAAATAACATGAAAAGTAAATTACGTAAAATATGTAAATGCCTTTTTAGAACAGCAGCCTATCTCAACAGCAATCTCAGCAGCAGCATTAGAAAGATGGCTAAAAAAACTGAGACGTGTCTGCAGCGCAAAATTGATGAAATGCAAACAACCCCAATGTTGTTACGCGATTTTTCTAGCCAATGAAAAGCTTATTATGCCAGTCTCAATAAAATTTTACATTTTCTTAATAAATATCAGTTGTAAGTAAGAATTAATTTTGAACTGGGCCACAGCAGCGATATATAGATTAACTACTCCCTTTTATGCGCTTTCTTTCAAATTAACTTGTTTAATTAATATTATCTAAATAAAGAGGTCTCAGGCAATACATTTCAAAATAAATCCTTGCAAAACTTACTGGATAATCGATAATACCTACATAATAATATTATGCAAGAAACCTTGACAATCGACATCTTGCGTGTTTCATAAGTAAACCAACCTTATGTAATTTAGGCGCCAGACTTAAAAGTCGACACCAAAGGAACAAATTTTGCAATACATCGTTTTTTATTTACTTTAATTAATTTAAGATAATTTGCTTTTAAGATAATTTTACTAATAAGTATTTTAAGTTTCTCAATGATATTTGACGACCTACTTGGTCAAGTGGCTTCCACACCGTTTTTCATGGTGTCGCCATCTCTCGAGGTCGTCGCGCGTCTCGTTGTTTCCGATTTCCATAACACAAGTGCGATAATTACTTACTTTGGGATCAGAGCAACGTATGTGATATTGTCTAATGTATTATTTATGGAAATCAACGGTATTTTACGAGTTCCAGTAAGTAATTATATACATATATTTGAATACACGCAATTTTTATATTTATCTTTCAAATTGAATCAATGTAAGTACATAATGAATTACATTGCAAAAATATATAGCTACTTGTTTACATTTAAATTCACTTGTAGTACCTAGGTACATTATTATTAATAATAATAAAACATTTATTCATGAGCACATTTACAATAAAACGGTTAACAGTAAAGAGTTTCGGAAACGTGGACTAGTGCCAATGAAAAGGATGAATCCTCAGCACCATTGCTGTTTTTCAGGTTCCACCATACATGGAAATTTGCTGCTGACAATCGTCAAACTTCATAAGAATTACATTTTAAATTTATAGGACATGCTTAAAATTAATTTATTATTTCGATGAGCACACGATTAATTTATATTTTTTAAATAATTACATTAGTTTATTTTCCTTTGCATATGAAGTTTTTATTCTTTCTTTATTAATCTTATTTTCCTTATTTATAAGAAATGTAACTTAGAAGAGGGGGCTTCTAACACACAAGTACCTAATGTTTACTTACAAGTAGCCCCAACCGGATACTTTAATTTCACGATGCTTTAACAAATTTTCTAAAAGAATCTGTTTTTGGTTTGAGAGTATAACATTTAGAAAAATTAATTCGATACGGCTGGATTCGAACCGGCTCTGCCAATTAAGCCACGGAACGAGCCAGCAGACCTTACGAACTTTACCATGTGCTTCTTGCAGATCTTTGTTTATGGAGGTTCTCAATTCGACGGTATGTTTTTTTTTGTACGTTTGTTACGCGATAACTCCGCCATTTGTGAACCGTTATTGATGATTCTATTTTTGTTGGAAAGACCTCCATAGTGGTCCCATTTAATTTTAAGAAAATCATCCACCTCTGAAGGTTCACGCATGAATATTCATTTTTACAAATATCGCCTAAATTTTATTTTATTTTTTGTTTTATTGCGCACTTTCCGGTCACCGATTTCAATAATAATAATAATAACGCACACACTCAACATAGCCCCGCACTAGGGAAACCCTGTGTCCCGGGTGCCATGGATACACACTTAGACAACCACAAATTACACCCAAACTCACGAGAGAAATAAATGTAGGCCATACAAATATTTCTCCCGGCCCGGGAATCGAACCCGGGGACCTCTGCGTGGCAGTCCGGTATGGTAACCGTGCGGCCACGGAGGCAGTTATATATCAATAATCAATAAAACTTGGCAAACAGATGTGATTCCACGTACTTTTGAGGTCGCTTTTTTAGTAGGTACTCTGTACTGAGATTATTAATGACTTTTTTGCGTAGCGCCATCTGTGAGAAACTTATTTTAATTTTTACTCTTTTATTAAATTTTAAATTATAGTGTAGGTTCCCGTTCAATTGAGTAGCAAGTATATAGAAAAGAGTACCTATACCTCTGAAACTTTGATTTTGTGGCTGTCAAAGTGGTATTACTTAGTTACTTATTGGAATATTTACATATGTAATCTCACAAAACTAAACATATCTAGGTTCTTTTTCGTCAATTTGTAGAAGTTTGGTTTAAATACATTCATTTATTAGGTATTGATTTGAAATATAATATTCCCTTTTTGTCTTTAAATAAAGAGTAACACTACTTGTCGAAAATATTAATATCAAGCTTTAATATGTATAAGCTGATACATAACAGCTATCCTATAATTCCGTACCTCTTCCATAAACTGTAATTCTGCTTTCCCAACCCTTTTATTGGCTAAATGCGAAAGGAAAGCCAAATTATTATTATAAAAAAAGAGAAACACGAAAATTTTTACGTTTCCATAAAGGTACGCAAATTTCAACTTTCCATTGCCCAAAAGCAAAATTTTGCATGGAAATACAGTTTTTTCATGTGTTAGAAAATGATATTGATAACCTAGAAACAAAAATCGTGTTAGGTACATTGTGTTTTCTTATCTAATGTTTTTCCATTTTATATAATAATAATTCATCTTTACGAATTTCGCGTAACTAGGTTATTTGTTCATGTCCTTCCAAATATTATTTTCTCCCAAAGACATGTAGGCGAAGTGAGTAATTTAAAGCATACCTCGTGACCATGTCATTTAATTTCAAAAGACATTCCCACTTTTGGGCGCATTGTCCTCTTTATCTCACGAGAGCATTTTGGACCGACGGTCTTGAAACCCTGCTAAAATGGTATGGTGCAATAATGTTTTTACTTTCAATGTAAGGGTCAAGTCACACGAAAAGAACTGCAGCGCGCAGCGGCCTGAGAAACTGGCGATGGCGATGCGTGGCGCGAGTCTTCACGAAATAATGGCTTGCTTTGTCGCACTGTTGAATACTTTTAGTGTTCGGTCTAACTATATCGTTCAATGAATGTCGTGTAGCAATAAATACGGAGGATTTCAACTAATTCTTTTTTTATTTTATTCACACTTGCTACGTCGATACTCTCAAGTATAGTGTATCATCTATGGTCAATACCCGCCAGTGAAATGACGTAAAGCACATAGGCGGCGGCGGGGTTAACTAGTCGCTATAAGTCTCGCGCGATCTCAGGGCTGCTCGCGGCACCGCATTATCCCTTCTCTCATTTCAAATCAACTTGAACTATTGTCTTTAGAAGATGAGATTTAAAATGCTAGGCAATATTTTGCACCGAAAATGCTCCTCGGCTCGCTGCTTGCCGCTGCTCATTCAGTGTGACTTGAGACTTGACTCTAAGGGTAACTATTTCTAACCTGCTTGTGTATTTATAATTTAAAAGAGTTATTGTTTAATACGAGTTGCTGAAAATTCACTGCACGTCGAAGAATATTCGCTACCCTTGAAAAACGTGTGAGTATGAAAAAAAGTGTTAACCCTCTCGGTAGGGGAGACCCGTGCCCAGTAGTAAAACCTATATTATGTGTTGTTATGTAAACACTTTATTGTACCAAAAAAATTTTAACAATGTTAGTGTTCAAAGGCGAACTTATTCCATAAAGGGATTTCTTCCAGCTTATTCCAGCAGGATAGATTCATAGCATTTTGATATAATATAATGTGTATAATTAATTAATTACAAGCATACAATTAATTCGCACAAATTTTTTTGCTTCTATTTTATTTACAGGTACTGTAGGCGTGAAACTCCTTGCCGAATACTAGTACTATTTGTATACCCTTCATTGGGGTTGTATCTGTATCTAGATATTTTACTGGAACTTTTTAAGGTTAGTCACAGGAGGAGAAGCGGGAAAACTGTTTTGCTAGATCAAACGGTTTAGTTATTTATTATTAAATAGGTAATGATCTTATAAAAAATATACGATACACCTAAAAATGTTGTCCAAAGAATGTGTCCAAAAAATCCTAAAAACAGGCCAAAATAAAAGTCTAAAATGAATTATTTAAGAACAAAATATCTAACTTTGCTCAAAATTTTTATATGGAGATATTTCTCTTCATGTTGGTACCACAGAGAAGCTGTTAAATTTTGTTTTTCAATTGAAGCCCTATAGTTATCAAATTCACATTTATCCCAAAATTTGCAAATTGCCCAGCGGTTTAATGACACGCCGCGCCCGCCGTATTCCGTCAGTCGCCATCGGGCGCTTATCGATGTAAAATTTTCTCAGCTTATTCTCATTTTATTCATATTAATTTTCAGGGGTGGCCCCACACACCGCACCTCCTAAAATTAGGCTCGCGTTGAAATACCTCGCCTTAAGCTCACACTGAACAAGTATCTACTAGAGCGAGCGTGTACTCTCTTCGTCTATGCCGTCACTTACCAGCAAAGTCAAAGTCAAAGTCAAAGATTATTTATTCCATAGGTAAAA